CTACATCATGTACAATCAGAAAATTAAAAAGTTACAGTCCATTTATGTATGATGTGTGAAAATGCATTCTACTGTCATGTATAACTAATTTGAGCAAATAAAAAAAATTTAAAAAAAGAAACAAAATTCCTTCATGAAAGGTAAGGACATTTTTAGTTCAGAGTTTGGTTTGGTTTGGTTTGCTTTGGTGCTAGGGATTGAAACTAGGGTCCCCCACATGCTATGCATGGGCTCTACCACTTAGTCATACCCTCAGCCCCCTAATTCAGCATTTAAAAAATTACTTTTTTTTTAACAGCATTGGGGATTGAACTCAGCCTTGTGCATGCTTAATTCAGAGATTTTTTAATTGTTGGAAGTATTTTGTCTCATGTTTTCAAATAAGGAATAAAATTTTTTAAAAAGACAGTATTTTTACTTCAGAAAAAGAAATAATAGTCATCCATATTAAAATTAAATCCAGAAATATTCATTTGAAGCTAACAAAAGAAGCAATTTCAGGACCCTATGCAATGTTATTAGATCAAAATGAAAGAGATAAAGAAGATTATTTATTCTATCTTTAGTTAACAGATATTTTAGCTGGATAATTCTGTCAAAGAAAAAAAAATACATACCGCTGCACAAACTGTATGTTTTAGGAGTTGAAATATTACTTTGTCCATATAAGTGAACCAAGATTTCTGTATTTTCCGAGCTGAAATTTCTCTATCAATTATGCGAAGAAAAAAGAGGTTAATATATATGACATAAGTTTTAATTTTTGTAAAGTCTTGAAAAACTCTCAATTTATGTGTATTTCTCCTATATCTCTTAATCTTCCATGCTAAGAACAACTTAATGAGGGACATTTGGACACAAGAAATGGAACTGGTAATTTGTAGAATCTAGTCAGAATGAAGACATGCATACTTGAGAATATCTCCCTTGAGATTAAAAAGAAAAGTCCTGGTAAAAACCTTATCATTTTAGGCAAATATATCATAAATTTATCATGAAGACACATATAATACATAGGGCTGGGGGTGTAGTTCAGTGATATAGCACTTATCTACTATGTGTAAAGCCCTGAGTTTCATCCCAAACACCCCAAAAAGAGGCATATAATAAATAAGAATTGTGAAGAGATAAGCTTGCTTCCTAAAATTATTTGGTTACAGTTCTTTAAAACTGTCCAACTGGTTCAGGTGGAATGAAAATGGAATGTGGAGTAGCTGAAGTTACAGGAGGCCCAGGTCTCTTCTGGGAGCTGATAACTACTCTCTAGAAAAAGAAACTCCCTTTTCCAATATTTGCTTGAACCAACTAGGCTAATCCTAGTCAAGTCAAACAACTATTCTCTATTAATCATATCCCAGCACTGGCTGATTGTGAGGGTCTTCCTATATAATATCCTCCCACCCCATCATTATCCATAATAGAGCCATGTGCAGAGAGGGACTCTTTTTTTAATATTTATTTTTTACTTGTAGTTGGGCACGATACCTTTATTTTATTTATTTATTTTTATGTGGTGCTGAGGATTAAATCCAGGGTCTCCCATGTGTGAGGCGAGTGCTTTAACACTGAGCAACAAACCCAGCCCCAGAGAGAGACTTTTAATGCTGCTTATAGTTTACATTCTTTGTGTACTAGAATATGTGGTATGTTTGGAAAAACAAGTGAATTTACCCATAGCCTTCTAATTAGACTGTTTAATGTCACCATTACTGGCAAAATGCAGAATACAAGATGCAGAGAAGACCTGAAGTATGGAAACAAACCTTTGAATACTAGTTGATACCATTTATTAGTTTAACTTTCTGCAAGTCACTTATCTTCTACTAGTTGTTTCTTCCTCATTTATAAAATATAATAATAAGGGGCTGGGGTTGTGCTCAGCAGTAGAGCACTGGCCTAGCAGGTGCAGGGCACGGGGTTCCATCCTCAGCACCACATAAAAATAAAATAAAGATATTGTGTACAACTTCAACTAAAACCCAAAATATTAAAAATATATAATAATAAAACTGTTTCATAAGGTTGTATCAGGATCAAATAGATGTGCGTTAACCTGCTTTGTAAATTATAAAATATATAATTATAGTGGTCATTCAACTTGACAATAATCTTAAAACATGAGAAACTTGGGCTGGGGTTGTAGCACAGTGGTAGAGCGCTTGCATGAGGCACTGAGTTTGATAATCAGTGCCACACAGAAATAAATAAAATAAAGGTCATTCAACAACTAAAAAACTTTTTTGAAAAACTTTACACAAGAAGTGTTTGAAGTTATCTGGGTAAATATGGATAAGTTTGGAAACTGTCCATTTGTGAAGAATGACACAAGGCAAAAGATGGGTACTTACAGTCGTTTTGCCTTTGCAACATTTAGAAAATGTGCTTTATGGTCTTTTCTTGGCTGTTGATCATCTGATTTTGGAATACGGGTGTCTGCTGCATTTGAAGAATGACTCATTTTCCTTATGATGAAGTAATCTGAAATTACATAAATTAAGCCTTTTTAATTTATTTTTGGGACTGAAATTGAACCTAGTGGCATTTTACGACTGAGCTACATCCTCAGCCCTTGTAAACTTTTAAAAATTTTGTGACAGGGTCTAAGTCACCCAGGCTGGCCTTGAACTTGCAATCCTCCTGCCTCAGCCTCTTTAGCAGTTGGGACTAAAGGCTAAATTAAGCTTTCAAGGTCATAATCCATATTATTATACTCCTTGGACTTGACTCATGCTAAAATTGTTGTGCTAATTAGAGAATTCTTTAAAAAGGAAGGCATCATGGATCTCTTAATGTTGTTTATGATTTACATTCTTTGTGTACTAAAATATTATTTGGTATGTGGGAAAGACAAATGGCTCTCCCCACAGTCTTCTAACTGGTCTTTGTCTCTAGTCTCTTTCTCTTTGTGTTCCTTCTTTACACTACAGCTAGAGTTAACTTTTCAGAGCAATAATTCAGTCTTATCACTCTCCTATTATCACCCAGAAATCCTGTTGAGGGCAGTGGGCACTTTTTTTTTTTTTAACCAGGGATTGAACCCAGAGGCACTTAACCGCTGAGCCACATCCCTAGCCCTTTTAATTTTTTATTTAGAGATAGGGTCTCGATAAGTTGCTTAGGCCCTTGCTAATTTGCTAAGGCTGGTTTTGAACTTGTGATCCTCCTGCCTCAGCCTTCTGAGTGGCTAGGATTACAGGTATGACAACTGCACCCAGAAGGAGGCACTTTGATAACTGGTGCCTAGCAGAGTGAAGAGGTTTTATAAATTTGTCTGAAAACTTTTCATCCTACATTTAGCAAATAGCCATAAGACTTTAGGCAAATCATGTAACTTCTTCATGTTCAACTCCCTCATTGGTAAAGCAAGAGGGTGTATACTAAATTACCTGATTCTGCCTCTAACTTTTTTAGTTTTTGAAGCATTACTCCAATTTGGATGCAGCTCCCAAATTCTTAGTCACATCATGAAAACATTTTAAAAGCAAAATTATAGTAATGTTTGTGTCTTCTTTATACTCTAAATAAGAAATCTAATAGCTATTGTACTTTTGAAGTATTAATGAGCATAAATGATATTTTGAGCTGTCTGCCATGATTGCAACATGGTATGAAAATATCTGTGCTTTCTACTGATGACAAAGTCAGAGGTACTGTTAATACTACTGTGGGTTGTTGCCTACACTACAATTGAAAGAAATGCTAAAGTTCAGTTAGAGGTTAGTAAAAATGAAATTGTCATTTTCCCCCAAGTTCACATATCCCTTGAATTTAGAACACCTGCTCTAATTTATCACTATGCTTCATACTTTTATGTATAATGTTACATTATTGATACAGAGCCTTCAGAATCTATTCAATATTTCTTCTTAGGGATGGGGATGATTATTAGAATACACAATATTCTTGAGAAAAGCAGTCCTAACATCTGGGAGTTAGCCTAGCACCCATAGCTGGGCCTCGCTGTTACCCCCACTTCCCAACAGAGCCTAATGCAAAGCAAAGCTCTGCTTTCTTGAACTTGCCCCCAAATCACCCAACCAAAGCCCAAATCCTAAAATGTTTCTAACACCTTCTTACTGAAATGCGCCACCTTCCCCCGGATGTGTGTTTTTCTAGCAGCAATGAGAAACCTCAACTTCTTCAAATACAGTTGTTTCCTAGTAGCCTTTGGCTGGTAGGCAGTGACATGACACTGCCCAAATCCCAAAATCTTTCAGATGTCCATATGGATGGGACTTCCATTTTCTATCTGATTAGAATGGAAATACAGAATGAAACATTCCCTTATTATTTAGAGAGTATAAAAGTTGTTTAGTCTGAGTACAGGTTTCAAAGGCACACTACCTGGGTTTGGACCCTGGTTTCGCATTCTCTACCTTTGTGAATTTGAATCAATAAATGACTTCACTGTGCCTCAGCTTCTTCATCTATAGATTGGGAATGGTAATTGTGCCCACCTACTTGGGTTAGATGAGTATGTGTAACAAGCTTTGATCAGAGCTGCGCACATAGTGCTGTATTAGTGCTTGATATTCTTGTTAATAATTATTCCCATTATTACTTACTTCTACAAGTATTAAGGGACAAATATTTGAGTCCCAGGGAGGAACTTCCACGTAAATATGTTAAAGAGAATAAAGAATGTTAGAACCTTTCGCGACTAAAGGACGTGGCAAATAAGTTTAAATTTAAACCCTGAGAAATGTCCAGCCCACGGTAAAAATCCAAAAAAAACCTTTTGTGAGGTAAATCCAGGCCCTGATCAACGACTTCCGGTTGGGAGGCTTTCGAAGCTTCTCGAGGTCCGCTGAGCGCCCTCAGCCGGCCGCCTCCGCTTACAGGATTCCTAACCTACACGGTGGAGCGCCCAATCGTGGCCGCGAAGGCAAATTCCCAGCGCCTCCCTCCTCGTGCCCCCTCGTGCAGCCCACACTGCCGCCTAGCAACAGCTAGCGCAGAGGCGGAGACTCCAGGAGGGCGGGACTTGCACTTGTCCATTGCCCCAGGCGCGACGCGCTGCAGCTCAACAAGGCTGCTTTTAGCCAAGGGTGGTTGAACTAAGCCTTCGCGGATCAAGGTGGTTGTACGGCTGTCAACCATAGGGCAGTCCGTGTGCGGTGTAGGAATCTGGGCCCTAACGGGCCTCCGTAGTTGCCTTTCTGTAGTGGGCGGGGCCGAGGCCGGGGTGACCCTGCCGGAGCCGCCGCTGCCAGCGACATGTTCAAGGTGAGAGCTTGGAGCCTGGTCACAGCTGTCATCGCCCCCTCCCGGCCGCCCGGAGACCTCCCCACGTTCTCGTGGGGCCTCTCCGGGGACCAGGCCCGTCTCACCCCTGGGCTTTTCCCGCCTCCGAGCCGGCTGCGTCCCGGCCCCGTGGTTCATTCACCGGTCTTCTTGGGCAGCGTGCGGCTGCCGGGTGGAGGCGTGAGACCCCGGGGTGGGTGGGGTTGGCCCTTTGGGTCATACTCGTGAATAAAACACTTTGAAAAGTCGTGGCTTCCCCCAAAGTACCCACCTTCCCGGTGCACTCTTGGGATCGTGGGTAGGTGAGGCCAGTTCAGGACACTGCAGGGTTCGTGGCTTTGGTTGCTTGGAAGAGTCAGGTTTCAGAACCTGGAATGTGGGTGGGGGAGGGTCACCTTCGGAAAAGCTGCTCGAGGTTGTGGGGGAGGCTGGCATGAAATGGATGCACGTGGAGGGAAGCTGGAGCTCTGCTCAACTCTTCAGCAAGTCGATCCCCTTACGTTTTCTTTGAACTCGTGTGCTTTGAAAGAAATCTACTCATACTGTGAAGGTTATTTCGAAAAACCTGCCTTTTTAGCATAAAGTCCCTATTCTACCATCTTTTTTTAAAAAAGCATATTTTCAGTATAAAAAACAAATCCCATACTGACGGAAACTTATCTACAGAATTGAGTCTTCAAGAAACAGTATCCATAAAATAGTGCTAATGAAGTCTGGAAATTGTGCTACTCATTTAAAAGTTTTCATTGAGCTGTGGTGTGCTGTGGACACATTCTAGTAATGGCTATAAAATCAGAGCATGGATTCTACTTTCCAAGTTTTCCTGTTGGTGAAGTTAGGGTAATAGCTTACAACTCATAGGGTTGTTAGAAGGAGTAAGTTGGTATGTGGAAAGCACATGGAAAAGGCCTTAACACATAGAATTGCCATCTGAGTATTTGCTTTTATTTGTTTTAGGCAGCTCAGTTGGGTCAGGAATACAGATCCCATAATCAACTTGCATTCATTTTATAAATTGTGTTAAACACCTGTTAAATACTGGGAACTCGGCTGTGTTACAGGATTGTAAGGATGATGGGTATGCTATAATCAGCTAAACTGTGTTGGTATCAACAATGTAAGTATGGTAGTAAAAAGGAGAGTTGGATCTATTTGCCCTAACTGGGGGTTCTTAACCTTGGGTCCTCAACTCCTCAAATGGTCTGTAGCTAGAGCTCATGGGTTCCCTAAACTGTTAGAGGGAAAAAATTTTATTTTTACCAGTCTCCATCGGTAATGAGCATTTCCTTCAGTTATGAATATGGCTATTCATTTTAGTTATCTGTTGTTGGATATGAACCACTGCAAGTCAGTGCCTTAATATGATTTACTCATTCTTAGAATCTGTGGTTTGGCTGGGCAGTTCTGCTAGTAGCTTAACTGAAAGGTGGCCTTGCCCCAGTGTATGGAGGCTTTGTGCCCCTCCATGTGCCTCCTATCAGCTTTCTCATGAGGCTCTAGGAGGGCAGGTCCTAATACACAACACTTATCTGCATCACATTTGCTGTTGTCAAGTTATGTCCAGAGTTGATATGGTACAGGACTACACAAGGGCATGGACATGGAGAGGGCTGGTTGATTGGGGACCATTGATTAAACAAGCTCCTATAGCTGTAAACCACTGCAGGTACCTGTCATCAATAGAAGTCACAGTACCTGTGCAAGTCACAGACATTTTCTTATGTTACAGTTGTTGCAGATCTCAAAATACCATTCGTGCTTATCACTATATCAAAATTAGTTAAAAATCTAGATCTTTAATAGGCTAATAAATAAGCACATATTACTGTATCAGGAGTTTGAGTCTTAAAATATGATTATTTTAATGTAGTTAGTATTTTATGCAATTAGAAGCATTATTTTGAGAAGGGTTCCTTGTTGTAAAAAAAAAAAAAAAAAAGGTAAGGAATCCCTGAGGACTTCAGGGAAGGCTTCACAGAGGGGACATTTTAATTTAGTTTTGAAAGACAGGAATTTTAATCAGGTGAATGAACCTGGGTACTCCAGCTGGTAGCTCACTTATTTTTTGTACCGGGGATTGAACCCAGGGACACTTAGCCACTGAACTATACTCCCAGACCCTTTTATTTTTTATTTTGAGACAGGGTCTTGCTAAGTTGCTGAGGCTGGCCTGGAACTTGTTATCCTCCTGCCACAGCCTCTCAAACTACTGGGATTACAGGTGTGTGCCACCACACCCAGGTGGAGGCTCACTTTTGATGTGTCAAGAGAAAGCTACAGTGAGCTGAAATTATTCCAGGTGAGCATGTATTTTGAGTAGAAAAGATCACAGCAAACCTTGGAGGACACCAAAATGTAAGGAGAAGGCAGAGGAAGAAGGGAGGCCAGGGATGGAGTAGTAACTTTTGAGAAGTAGACAAAAGAGTGATGTTTAGAAAATCAAGGGAGAAGGGGTACTAGATCTGTAGCTCCATGGTAGAGCTTATGCAAGAAGCCCTGGGTTAGACCCCTAGTGCGGTGGGATGGAAGGTTTGGGGCGTAGGGAGAAAAACCAAGAGAGGAGGGTTTCAAGGAGGACAGACTATGCTTTTGTCTGGGAAAACCTAATCAATAAATAGTAACTCAGGGGGCTGAGAATGTGGCTCAGGCGGTAGCGCGCTCGCCTGGCATGCGTGCGGCCTGGGTTCGATCCTCAGCACCACATACCAACAAAGATGTTGTGTCCTCCGAGAACTAAAAAATAAATATTAAAAATTCTCTCTCTCTCTCTCTCACTCTCTCTTTAAAAAAAATAGTAACTCAGGGCTCATTGATTCAGTGTCATCAGGGACTGGTCTCTTCTTGGCTTTCCATGGTAATGTTGATTTCCCTTATACTTCCAAGATGACTGCAAGTAATATACACACTTTCCCATTCACTGGAGAGAAGACAAAACTCCCATGCTTCCTCCAGGTGTGATTGGATGAATTTAGGTCAGGTACCTAATCCAATAGTAGTTGCCAGAAGAATGCCATGCTCTGATTGGCTTAGACTGTACAGGATCACTTTACCTTAATGGAAAAGGAATGAATTCATGAACACAGTAGGGTTCTTTGGGGAAGGAAGAGGTGGAATGGAGACTGGATGCACAACCAACAATGACCATTTCAGAGAGATAAGTTAGATTTGAGTTTGGACACATGTTCATTGATTTGGGCTCTTGGGAAAGCTTTCATGAACCTTATACATGTACATTTACTGATGGAAGTAAAATATTAGCATGGGTAGGTGACTCATAAATAAAAGGACAGAGTTTACTGTTAAAGGAAGGAAAGAACTAATTAGAAGGAAATATTGGATCAAAATCTTAGAGTGGGGGGCTGGGGCTGTAGCTCAGTGGTAGAGCGCCCACCTCACACATGTGAGGCACTAGGTTCGATCCTTAGCACCACATAAAAATAAAGAGATTGTGTCCAACTACAACTAAAATAATAATAATAATAGTAATAATAAAAAGATTCTCGAGTGGTTTTGTGGTTGTAATAGCATTCGAGGTTTGGCAGTGTTTATGGTCTTGGAAGGAATGTAGAGAAGGAAGTTTTTAAAAAGAGAATCCCTCAACTTCAAAAAGGGGCAAGAGACTCCTTTCTGTGAGATGGAAGGAAAAGAGTGGGAGTGATTATAGACCCATGGTTCTCAACTGAATGGTACCTGCCCCTTAAGGTACAATTTGGAAACTCAAGAATTTCTTTAAGTCTTTAGTTGTATTAAACATTTTTACACTGAAATGGAATTCTGATAAATCATTCCTTTTGTCATCTTTATATTACCATCAAATAAGTATGCTTATATCTTCTTTTGAGCTTTTGTTTGTTAGTGGATGATGGGATTTTATTACAGGATATCAAGAGTGTTACCAAATATTTGTCCTAAAATAGTGATGTTAGGTCTATTAGTTGAGAATCAGTGCTTGTCAAACTTTAATGTAAATGCAACTCTTGTTAAAATCCAGATTCTACAGATTCCAATTCAGTAGGTCTGGGATGGGCCCTCAGATTCTCCATCTTTTTAGTGAGCTTCAGGTGCTATAGATGTTGCTGGTTCCCCCATCACACTTGCAATAGTTAAGAATTAATTAGTTAAGAATTAAGCTAAATTGATGGTGAATCATTTGTTGTATTTTTGAGGTGGATGGTTTTATGAATTTGGTGGAATTGGGAAGACACAATGATTAAGAAACAAAAAAGGCCAGCAGCTAGGCTGGGGATATAGCTCAGTGATAGAGAGCTTGCTTTAGCAAGCTGGTTCAATCTCTAGCACTGCAGAACAAAACAAACAGAAAGGCCAGAGGCATTGCTGATTGGGAATAGAATAAATGGTAGGATTGATATGTCTTTGGAAGTTAACTGCTTGGAGTAAATAGAACTGGAGGGCAAGAGGTTGATAGTGTAGGTGTTGGTGGAATAGTACAATGTGTATAACGAGTTACGTGCATGTTGAATAGCCATTGTTTTGATTTAGCTATTCATATTGTAGTCAGTAGGGGGCATTAGTGGATTAAAAACACATTTGAAAAACTTCCCAGTATTTGCATTCTATTGTAGGAAGTTTTCTTAGTGCCAGTTCAGAAAGTTTGAATATTGAATATATACACCCAGTCCCCAGGTTCACATTACTATATTTCATTCATTTCTCAGATTTTATCACTATCCAACTATAGGCTGTGTACCATGCTAGGACCCTGGTGTGTACAAGTGACATGACCCAGTTCTTACCTAAGACAGTTGCTAAATCTGACCACACACCAGAATTATTTAAGGACAGAAGTAGCTTCCAGGGCCCTGCTTGTGCTTCCAATTTACTTTCTTAGGTGGAATTCAGGAACTTTTAGGTTTGAAAAAGGCCCCAGGTGATAATGAAACTTTCATTTCAGAAGCCCACATGTGGTTATCAGCACAGATATATATTAAAAAGTGTATTATAGTGCAGTGAGTCTCAACTTT